TGTGCATCTATCTGCCTTGCCTATTAAGAAATGCCTTGGAAGAGGGAGTGGGGATGAATATGCCTTAAATACTAATTCTGTATAGAAATGTGTCCAATTAGGATTCTCAAGTATAAGGCCCTTCCTGAATTTAGGAGCCTAAAGCCAGCTTGATCCTTTCTTCACACTGGTAAGTGATTCTGTGATGAGACTGTACTTGTGAGAGATGTGTTCTAAAATCCCACTGTGTTGTTAATATGACCCAAATCTCTCACGTAGCACCAGTCTGCTACTATGTTGTAACAGTGGATGTTTCTCATGCAAATGCCTTTTCTGACTTTGTGAATTTTCTCTGGCACAGTGAGCAGGAGAATGACTGAGCTTTCTGATGTTTTTGGGAAACTGTGTAAACGGTAAGCAATTTGAAATTCCATGATAATGAACATTTAGCTTTTTATTAGAAGAGGGGCTTTTTGAACAGACCAGGGAACTCTGAACACTCGACAGCCTTAAAGTCTATGCCTGTATGAGGAACGAAGTGGACTGTTTCCACAGGAGGTGGGAGATGTGGTTTCAAGTTCCCTTCTTTAGATAAGGCAAAGAAGCATTTTTAAACTTGCTTCTCCCACACTAATCACTGGGCTATTTGGTAGATGCCACACCCTTTCCCTCCCCCTTGGTTTCTGTGCTAGTTCCAATTCACAAGGCAAGCTACAGTAACACCTACCAGCTTAGTGTCTAAACTTGATTTGAATACAAGGGTAGTCAGAAATTGTGAAAGCTGCTGGAAGTCTTGGTTAGCAAGCTGATTAAGGTTGGAAGATGCTATTCCCAGAACATCATGGAAAATATTTTGTTCAAGTAACGAGCAAATGAAATGGGAAGACTCAATAGGAGAGTTTGAACTACTTTTATTGTCATAATCTGTAGAAAGCCACAACTAAATGTTAGGCAGCATTTAAGTCCAGCCTCCAAATGGATATGAAGTTCTTACCTCTTGTGGTCCCTCTAGAGGATTTAGTGTGAATGAATGGGAACAGCTAGATAAAAGCTAGCTAGATGTAGACAAATGTCCAAAGGGATTAAGATGCACATGATCATGTGATAGGGAAGGTGCTTGAAGAAACAGCATGGAAAATTTCAACACAGAATAGAAGAAAGTGAGCAAAAGGCCTCTGCTTCACATATGGTACTCTGCTTAGTGATCTGTTAATCTTGCTTGCGGGCTCTCTTGTTATTAATGCTTTGAATGAGAACGTTTCTCCATGGATTGAATACGTCTACAGCTACTAGTAGTTTAGGGTGTTTTTTCAGCATTCTGTTCCAGTCCATGTATGAACTCATGACTGTAAACTATAACATAGTTTGTAATGCAGGTTAAGAAATATAAACTGATCTTGCCAGGGCTCAAGGGGGCGTGTGTACACCTGCATGCATGAACACATGCATAAGCAGGGAGTAGTTGTTGAGAAGTCAAAAAAAAGTGTTAAAAATGGTGTATAAAATAATCAGGGCATGCTGTTATCTCCTGATTCCTGAAAGTGCTGTGTTTCTGTCATTAAAAAAAAAAAGTCTTGAGCCCCTCTTTTGCTTGGGGGTGGGGTAGGGAAGGGTCTTCCCTCTTTTCAGAAACGCATGATGCTGCATTTGTTTTCTGACCTTGGAGGCACTTTTGATTTTTTGTTTATTACTGTTCAGTAATCTTTCTTTTCCAAGGCAAGGGCTCTTAGGCGCTGAGAGGACACTTTGCCAGTGCTTTATGCAGACCTAGTATTCTGGGTGCTGGGTTTCCTGTTCATTTCCTTTCAGACCCAGTGTAACTTCCAAAAGGGAGTATCTGACAGATTCTGACAAGCAGAGGAAGAATCTCTGCAATTGTGATTCTAGAAAAATAAATGTCAGCCAGGTGAAGCATCAAGGAAAAAAAACCACAGAAGTCTCCCTCCTGACTTCTGTCCTCCCAGTTGTGTTCAAAACAGCTACACTATGTCCAGCATTGATGCTAAATGACCTGTTTTATTTTAAATTTGTGTAAGGTACGTACCTAAGTCGGCTCCAATCTGTGGAGGTTCTGTTGCACAGGCTGAACATATGAACGCATAGCACCAGCTAAAACAGGATGAGCTGTTTTGTTTGTGAAATGAAGTGGCTGCCCATCCAGCCAAACCACCAACTGTTCAGAACTACAGACCAGAAAGTGGTAATACAGAGTATCCACTCAGAGTACCTTACTACATACTGTAAGATGGTCTACTTGCTAGACATTGTGTTGGCAATTTGCTTGCTTTATTTGCTTACAGAACTGACAGCTTGACCACAACATAATTGCTTGTTACTGGCCAGTACAGTGCTGCAGTAGGCTGTTAGAGAAATGTTAGGTTATACACCAGCCTAGAATAAATTAAAATAAAACAAAAAAGACCAGTTATGAATAAAGCCTGCCTCCATGGAGGCAAACTTACTGGCTTAAAACAGGCATACTTTAGCAAGCAGGGCATGCTTGTAAACATATGCCCAAATCTCTTGATGGTCTGGCCATGTGAAGCAGAGGTTTGACTTGCTGGAACCAGGTTCTTGGATAGTGCAGTGGTTGGGACTGATACCCATCAGAGCCTGACAGGCTCTCAGTTGTAGGCAAACCATTTTAGATGGGCAGGAATGGTTGTTCAGGACCCAGGTGAGGCATGTAACCCTGTGTCATCCTCCCCCCTGCCTCCCACCCCATTTCCTTCTTTCTCTTACCCATTCCCCCACAATCCCTGGTTTTTTTTTTTTTTTCCCTTTTTTCCCCCTTAAAGCCCCCCCCCCCGCCCTTTTCTCCACTTCCCTTGGAAGAACAGTAGTTTAAGACTGGCTAATTTTACAGTTAAAAGCTCTAGTGCTTATTCATAACATGCCAGCTTTGCCAGACCAAGCATAGCTAGACTTCATGTTTTACAGGCTCCACAGCGCATCGTCGCTTTGTTCCCTTCAGTAGGCTACATGTGACAAGAATGAAAGCATTAACAGGCCTGCTGCTTTTAATGTGCTAAGAAGGTGGTAGCAACTCTGCAGCAAAGATGCTCAGCCTGCAGCTGCAGGAAATGGCAGCATACTATGGAGCAGGGTCACTAAGCATGCAGTGAAGTAAACTGCATTCAGAAAACAGACCACAGAGAGATAAATTCTCAAAGCTGAGCTAAGCTTTATTTATTTATTCTAGCTTAAGACAGTATGGCTTGACTCCTAGTTCTTCAGTCTCTTAAACAGCTGCATACCATTGCTGATTTAAAAAAAATTCTTTTTTTTTTTGGCTGCTGACATTCTTCACAGCATACTGAACACTGGAAGGCTACACTGACTGAGGGCCTAGGAGACACACAAAGCCCACAGGGAAAAAGGGTAAAAGCCTGGTAGGGGTCTTGCATGTATAGACCTGCAGCTGGTTTTGACACACTTCTCAGAATTTATCAGGTGGGAAGGAGAAAGAATGATCATATAATTAAGTATGAGACTTTGAGCAGGGAAAGGTTCATGGACTTGGTTCTGACTTAGTGCATAATTTCAGACAACCCTCTCTATTAAAATAGAGACTTCATTTTACCCTAACCTTTGGCTCATGGGAGACCATTAAGCTTTATCACACCATATAAAACTAATAATTATGAATACAACAATGTGGTTACAGCAACATCTTATAGTTTTACATTCACATTTTCAAAGTAGTGCTAGATTCCTTTCTGCATTGAAAACATGGCCTGCTGAAACTCAGACAAATGTGACACATTTTCTATTAGTGAAGAACTCAATTGACATTGCTATTTTTTAGTGCCAGAAGGCTGTTCTAATACAAGACATTTATTCCCCAATATTAAAAACAGGACATGAAGGGCTAATGAACATACAAGAGGCAGATTATGATGGCAACTTACATAGGTTGCCCCCACCCCAAAATGCAGCATTTTCAGTCCTTAAAACACAGAATGAGAAATTTAATTGCATCCTTTTTATTTCAAATGCAGGATAATTCCCTGAGTAAGCAGCTTTTTACTTAAATAAAACTTTTCCAGAACTTAAAAATAAACCTGTGGAACAAGTTCACACAGCTGACGGTGAGCTGGAGACGGCATGTTCTTTGGCCCAGGGAAGCAGAGGCCTGGCAGGAGTCTTTAACTATTCATTTCCAAAGCTTCACACTGCACTGTCACCAGCCTCCTTCAGTACAGCAGTCTCCCCCACATCTACATCTCCTCTCCGACTGATCTCTGGGTTTTGAATTACTCTTTGACTACTCTGCCATGAAAGGGATTTTTCATATTTGGTCTTAAAAAGTAATCCATGACCTGAAGAAGCAAGGATGTGGAAAAAAAACCAAAACAAACAAAACAAAACAAACTGAAATGAGATGACTGCACTGGTAAACAGAACAGCTCATTCGTTATAGTTATAAAGAATGGGTCCTCATAGTCTGGAAAATATGCATCCCAAGGCATTGGAAAAAGAAGAAATATCGTACACAGAAGGAAGAGCAGGCTTTTAAAATTGTACTATAAAATTTTAGACAGCTATGTACGTAGATTTTAACACCCCACCCCCCCACCCCATAAACCAAAGATTAAAGTAATGAATATAGACGGAAGATGAGACATTTGCTCAATGACTTGTAAGGACAGTGCCACTTACTTACCTGGACAGTCTGCTGTCTCTTTGAATGCTCTTTTCTTGCAGCATCCTCGGCACATGTTAAACACACATTTATTGCCCTGGATTGGGATGGAGTTGTAAAGAAGCTTGTATCAGTGAAAATAAAATTGTTAACTATAATAAGCAACAACAATACAGCTCTGCACATTCAGACCTTAGGAAAAAAAAAACAACCATGAACTTGTAAATTAGGCAGTCACACAGTCCAATGAAGATGAGCGAGCTGATGTTACATGGGGGGATGGGTGCGGGGAGCCCCAGCTATCACCTGTTTGTACATAAAGAACGAAAACCAAAACAATTTCCACATTCAACTTGTGCAACATCAGTAATCTATTGGGCAGCCTGAGTTACAGAACACAAGCAGGCAAGTGCCATAAGCACTTTGGAACAAGCATCATGACATTTGTTGCAGGTGAGCTTGCCATAGCTGTAGGTCTCTGCAAAAGCAAAAGCAGTATGTGAAGCATGGTGCCCAACATGCTTGCTACCATCTGTAGCTATGCCTAAAATAAATGTTACCACAGCAGTTACTTCCCTACTTGCAGCTTAAAATATACCTGAGTATATATTAAAATATAACGTATGACCCTTAGGGGACAGCAGCAATTGAGTTGGATAGTTGACAACTTGGCTATATGAGACCAGGTGTACATAGTGCTTTGGCTTACAGGGGCTTAGTGATCATTTAGCAAAGTGGGGTTTTGTTGTTCCCTCCACTCCAATTAAAAATTCCTTCATGTTTAGGGAGTCCTTGGTTGAATTTTGTTGTTGTTGTTTTGTTTTGTTCTCCCTCCGTTCCATGACATAGCTTAAGAAACATATAATTGGGGGGGCAATGACAATAAACCAACCAAAACTACAGGCCCAGTCCCAAGATTTCAAGGGCTGCCTGCAACATTACAATGATATAAGAACAAAACAAAAATGAGACTAAGCCCAGCTTCAGACAGTCATGGTTGATGCACCAAGCTGTGTCACCTGGATTAACAATGAAACAGGATGGATTTGAAAGCAGGCCAGATGAATGCTCAATGTTTTCCTAATAATGAGCACTGCAAGAAAAACATTTTCTTCTGTAGCTGCAGCTCCAAACTGAGGCCCAGCTGGCTGGTATGTCTAAGGTGCTGTAACAGCATTACAAAAGAGAGCAACACTACATGCATGTGCCCCTGTCTCCCCACCCCCACAGATGTAATGGTACTTTTTCAGCTAGAACACAAAATTATTCCTTGCATCTTACACCTGCTTGTATGTCTGCATGCACAGATATATTAGCAGCAATAAATCTACTCTGCTCATTCAGCTCAGCAGCATCTCCCTGTCAAGGAAACAGCTATGTTCCCCAAGAGAAAACAAACAAAAAAAACCCAAACAAACAAAAAAAATTAACTCTTCAAATATCAAATATTTGAAGTTGCATATATAAAGTTTCAAATATATATGCTATACACAACCTGGAGAACAGCTGGCTTGTTTAACATTGCTAGTGGTGAAAGTTGATGTTAATCTGCTAGCAAAAACAGAGCTATGACTAGGTGCTCATTCTTGTTCTGATGAAGGGCATATATCCAAAACCAACAAAAAAAACAGAGATGCAGATTCCTGCCTCACACTCACTACAGACTATACGGTGATGATGTTTGAAGTATTTGTATTAGTACACCAATAACCATGCCAATTATTCAAATTCTCAATCCTTGCAGTAAAACACCTCACCACCACTAACCCTAGTAAAAGGGGTTTGGTTTTCAATTTCACAGTAGAATGTACATAGGTAATTACTGGACATTTTGAGATTTGTTGTTAAGAGATCTTGGGAAGTTCATCTAACTCACTCAACTGTCTTAGCAATAAATAACCTCAGCAGCAGTAAGACTGTACTTTTTTTGGGAAGGCAGGCAAATGATCTCAAAAAACCTACCTACGTTAGTGATTTTTGTGCAGCACCTTCACCTGAGAGATTAGTTACAGTTAACAGTTAAGAGGCCTTTGCCTAAGTATAGACTTACCTGCCCCGCCCCCATATCATCAGGACTTGGTATGCATGCATTACTGGACCCTGGCATGGACCTACCTCAGGATTTAGAATCACAGAATGGTTTGGATTGGAAGGGACCTTTCAAGACCATCTAGTCCAATGCCTCTGCCATGGCCAGGGACATCTCCAACTAGTTTAGGCTGCTCAGAGCCCCATCCAACCTGACCTTGAATGTTTCCAAGGATGGGGCATCTACCACCTCTCTGGGCAACCTGTTCCAGTGTTTCACCACCCTGTCTGAATCTGCCCTCTTTTAGTTTAAAGCCATTATCCCTTGTCCTGTTGCAACAGGCCCTACTAAAAAGCCTGTCCCCATCTTTCTTATAAGCCCCCTTTAAGTATTGAAAGGCCACAATAAGGTCTCCCCAGAGTCTCCTCCTGGCTGAAGAACCCCAACTCTCTCAGCCTTTCCTCATAGCAGAGGTGTTCCAGCCCTCTGATTGTTTTGGTGGCCCTCCTCTGGACCCTCTCCAGCAGGTCCATGTCTTTCCTGTGCTGAGGACCCCAGAGCTGGACGCAGAACTGCACATGGGGTCTTACCAGAGCAGAGGGGCAGAATCACCTCCTTTGACCTGCTGGCCACTCTTCTTCTGATGCAGCCCAGGATATGGTTGGCTTTCTGGACTGTGAGCACATATTGACAGCTAACGTCCAGCTTTTCATCCATCAGTACCTCCAAGTCCTTCTCTGCAGGGCTGGTCTCAATCCCTTCACCCCCCAGCCTGTATCGATACCGGGGGGTGCCCTGACCCAGGTGCAGGACCTTGTGCACTTGACCTTGTTGAACCTCATGAGGTTCACACTGGCCCGCTTCTTAAGCTTGTCCAGGCCCCTCTGGATGGCATCCCATCCCTCAGGTGTGTCAACTGCACCACTCAGCTTGGTGTTGTCTGCAAACTCACTTAGGGTGCACTCGATCCCACTGTCTATGTCATTGGTGAAGATATTAAACAGTCCTAGTCCCAATACGGACCCCTCAGGGACACCACTCCACCGATCTCCATCCAGACATTGAGCCCTTGACCACTGCATGGTCATTTAATTTCCATTTAATGGAAATGCTTTAATGGACATGCACTGACTTACCTTAGGGTTTCCACATTGATCACATTTCGCATATTTGGCTGGAAAGAGAGAGAGTGTCCTGATTTCAGCAATGGTATTTTTATGTGGAAGAAATAAATTAAAAAAAAAAAAACCAGGATCAAAGCTTGGCACTTTTCTAGCCAGAAAGACTCTTTTTGAAATAAAAAATACAGTTCCTCAAAGAACCGTGCAAAGGTAAAGACACTTTTGACTTAAGTGCCCCTAAGCTAAATCCAAACAGAAAATTTTAATCCTCAAGTTAAGTGTAAAAGAGGAGGACATCTGCTTGAAATGCATGCGAAATTTCAATTTCAAATACTAGTGACTGCCACAATTTAGTTTGTAAAGCATTTTGATCTTAAAAAGAAGCTTATAGTGGATCAGTGACCTACTTCTTTGATCCTTGTGTTCTTTACTAATGAACATAATTTGAATCACATTGCCTACTACCAAAATTTCCCGATAATCCCTCTTAAAGAAGTTTCTACAACTACATAAACAAGGAAAATAAATAGTGGCAATTTATATCAAATGTGATATCAGCAAGTTTCCATGCATTTATGCCAATAAATGGAACTTACGTTTTAAAGATGGATCAAAGCTTTTATTTGGATTTCTTAACTTCTTTTTTTGTTTATTCTTTGACAGAAGCTCAGAATTTCCATCTTCTTCCTCTTCCAGAGCACGTTTCCCTCGCACCCCTTTTTCAGTCCCACTGGCTCCATTCTCCTTGCATCTCTCCTTTGGCCTGAAACAGTGAATATCATTGTAAGTTGGCTGAAGGGAAGAAGTAGGTGTTCCCTGGCCACTATTCTGGTTTACAGCAATCTGGGTAAACTGTAAACCTTTCTATCATGGCTAAATTACAAGGAAGCGTCACTGACTTTAGACGTGGAATAGAAAAATCTAACTTTTTTGTTAACATTGGCTGTTAATAACAGACACACTGTCAGATAAATCAGTTGGAAAGTCAATGAAAGTTGGCCAGTTAAATTAACGAGGCACCTGTTAACCTGTTATTCCCAGGTTTTACTTAAGTATTTACTTAAGTATTAATCTTGACATGCTGATTTTCTTCAGCCCAATTTTCACAACAGAAAGGGAATAAGGTATCTGAAAAGCTTGTCCATACAACATAAGCATCCTTTATCGAATACACGTTAGTTCCCATCTTTGCTACCCTGGCAGTTACCAGCAACATACGTGTTACATGTAACAATAAAGTACTGTCAGGTAGCATATTTGTTGCTCATCAGCTTCTCTTTCTGAGCTGCAGTGGAATTCTTGGTTTTTACTTTCCAGAGAGAGAAATCTGAGGAGGATCTAAAGGAGAAGATGCATATAATGAGCAACATCCCCCGAACAAAGCAGTAACCAGGAAAAAACCAAACCAGAATAAAAATAATCCAAAGTATTCACTTATTTTCAAATGAATGTAAGCTCCTAGAACAGAACTGGATGGCTCTGTACTGATAGTATGGGTGGGAAAGGCCTATGGGTACCTGTCCATGTTAGAATAGATAACTCACCCTGGCCTGATGTATGGCTGACAGATCCAGTGGAAAAAAGGCAACCCTTCTTTTGGCTTTTCTCCTTCTTTCTGATTAGCTATTTCTTCCTGCAGCATAGAATTACAGTCAGTTTACCTTGAGTTCTCAGGAAATACTCTAAATAATACTTCAAACTCCAGGAAACCACAAATTGGATTTTAAACTAACAGTTACTGACAGTTAAATATAGGCAAAAAAACTCTACTAAGACAGATGAATTGAAGCAGGTTTGTAACTCCTAAATCAACTTTATCTCATGTAAAGCTGTTCAGGCTTAAGGGGCTGCTACTGTAGTAAACTACCAATATTGAGGTTGATAAGCCACAAAGTTCCAACGAAGTGACTAACAGACATCAACTGCATGACATACATGGTAAATTCCCACCAAGTGTGGACAGTGTTGTTCTGGGAGATTAGGGCCCATCTTGGTACCTGGCATCGTAGTTTCAGCTCCCTGTTGACATCTACAATGCCCTCTAGAGTCTTCACTTTTGCTAATTCTTCACGCAGCTGCTGGTAAACTTGAAGCCTGAGGCAAATCCCAAACATCAAGTCATATTTATTCATTATTGCTAGACTGAGGAGATCAACTAAAAATGTCTTTATAAAAGCTTTTAATAGCTTTTTCTTGCTGCACTTGCCTTTGGTAGAAGCTTATCTTCTTTCTTGTAAGTCCAGAGAAAAGCACACATATCTGCTCCTCTTTTCCAAATAAATACTTGGTACACAACCAAGGTACTTCTTTGAGATAAGCTAACATGAATGTACAGTGCATCAGCTGCTCCTCAGTAACTGCCCATGGCCATGCTCTTACTCCACAATAAACACAAGACAGCTTGCCTCACAGTGAACAAGGAGTTAGTTAACTCATGTTTGCCATAAAGTGCATGTGTGCATATGGGCAATTACCACATGGTAGCTGATGTGCTGTGAGCTCACGCCCTAGCTTATCTTGTGGTAACTTGTTCGTTCCCCATGCCCTGTTTCCCGGATATGCAGTGAAGGGTAAAGGCCTCAGCCAGCATCCTCTCCAGCCAAGTCCAGGAGAGAAAACTTTGCAGCATACTAATTCTGGCCAAACAAATCCTTGTCCAGAAAAGCCAGACACTTGTTAAGCAGGATGAGCCCTGAAAACATTAAGAGTTCTCTGGAGATACTCACGTGTGATGCCAGAGCTTGAAGAGATGAGCCCTAACATAAGACAATGGACAAGGGTACTTCTGCACTATCTCCAGATACTCCTCAGCCATCTCCCACACCAATGGGTTTCGGCCCTCAAACAAGGCTGGGTTATGAAGATTACCTTCTAGGGAATGAAAAGAAATACTCAAACTTTCATTTCAGGATTGAAACAGAAAACAAAACCTAGACTCTGGAACTTGATCAGCTCTGTTGTGATTCTACTAGCCAGTCACAAACACATCACTCATGTACTCACAAAGAGGAACACAGGGTCCATAAAACTCTAGCCTGACCTCAGGATACTATATTTCACTATACAATTCTTAATTAAGCCAAATAGCTCATATGTAATTAAAGTTCATTTTCCAGAAAGGCATCCAATCTTGACACAAAGACAGTAAAAAGATAATAAATACAGAAGTCACTGCTTTTGTTGCCCAATGGTTAAATACTTGGATAACGGGTGTCTCACCTTATGTCTGTATTCACATTTGTCTGGCCTAAGTTTACAGATATTGCTTCTCACTATGCTTTTCTCTACTAGCTTCACAAGCCTTTTGTTAACCAGTATTTTCTAAAAATAAGATTCTACAACCACCCCCCCCCCCCGAAAATATGTTTTATTGCTTTAACTGCGCGAGTGATGGGAAGCTTTTTCTGATGTCTATCCTAGCTCTTCCTGTAGGAAGTTATGCCAGTTCTTTCTTGTCCCAACCCAACATGAACCATCTGCAGGAATATGAATCAGCAGACGCACTTACTGCATCCACATCCACTCAAAAACCATTCCATTGATTAACCGATGTCATGAAAATATTCCAGGACAACAGGAGTCCAATATGCCTTTGTCAAGTAATTAGATTTGAGCTGTCCACTCAATGGTACTACAAGTCCAACATAACAAGTCTCACAAATCTTAAGTGATTCCTGGTCCTGGTCAGAGATGGCCAGTATAAGAGGAGAGAGAATGGCCACTCAGCTTTCAATCAAAGCTGTTCACCAAGTCAGTCTGATGTAAGCTTTGAATAAATGTATATAGGGCTGCTAAGAGAGTAAGAAACAGTTCGTATTCTTGTCTATTATGAGTAAAAAGTTTATTTTCTTTACCTGCACTCATGACACCATGCACTCCTGTCTTACGGATACATTCTTCCACATCACTGAGACACTGGATGTTTCCATTTGCAAATACAGGAATGCTTACAGCTTTTCTACACCAGTGAATAAAACAGATGCATAAAATTGAAAATTAGAGTCAACCCAGAAATTCTACTCCTGTCACATAAATTCATTTGCTCTTCAATGCCAGAGCACACTCTGCTTAAAATCTACCTTCATAGCATGTTAGCAGAAATGCACTAAGATTGGTACTGCTCACTAACCTGACAGCTTGAATGTGCTCCCAAGATGCCACACCAGCAAGCGGTCCTTTCTGTTCTTTAGTACGGCCGTGCACAGTCAGCAGCTAGAACACAAAGTGACATTTACTCTTCATGTGTATGAACCACTGGAACAAATGCAATGACAAAAATTTCCCTTCACCTCATACACTTCATGGATGCCGCTGAATTCCCACTGCTATTTCAACAGTGCAGGGACTTTGGTATCACAGAAAGGTATCAGCAGCTCACCTACCATGGCATGGTCTTGGGCTTCTTTCAGCCTGCTATTCCACAGCATGACAAGATCGTGTCTTGGGAGAACCTAAAGATATCCTATTGCATTGGCTCCCATTTGTGATTCACTTTGGAATTTGTGATATATTGATCTGGCTTACTCCTCAGCAGAAGGCCCGAATACTTTCAGTACTGGCTCTAACTACAGACCGTCTCTTCCAATTTAACTGGAGTTAAATCCTAGAAGGCTGCCTATTTCTTCACTAGTGGTAGTCATCTTTGATACTGTTTTTTTCTACAGCCCTGTGGATTTCATGCATTCACACTGCCTCCTGCAGCACTATGTTAGACTGAGATGCTCAACCACAGTGAAGGATACCACACTATGCAGTGATTATAAGAGAGACTCTGAAATCATGATGCCTTCCATATCATACTATTGACCTGCTGCCTATGACTGCAAATACATACAATTTCTCTGCATCCCATCTTCTCTGTCTGTAAAACAATGTAGCCTATTCATCTCCACAGTACACCAAGATCTGGTCATCAGGTGCTTTACATAGAGACACGTGTCCAATGCAACAGTACAGGGAGCAGCTGCCTCCTTACCTGGCAGCCAGCTTTCTCCAGCATCTGTGCATACTTCACTGTCTTGTCAATTTCTGGGAAAACGCGGATTTTGCATGTGATGGGAACAGAGAGCTTCTCGTTAGCCAGTAAAACTGGGAAAGATTGAAAAGACAGGTAAGTGGGCTGCACAATGCTATGAAAAGTGCCTACTGTCCTCAAGATCTGATACTGGGTGTGGTATGGAAAAAGACTGAAAAGTTAATGCTATGCAGTTCTCACAGCTTAAAACAATCAGCAATGTCCTCTGTGATCCTTATTGCATAGGTTAATCAAGTAATAGTTAAACATGAAGCACAAAATCTGGATTCTAACAAGAAGACACAAAATAGTCAGCATTTAATAGCCCTAACTTCTCCACTGCATCAAACCTTCACTTTCAAGGAACCACCCCCCTCAAATCTTGATCATTGATACAGGTTTACTATCATCACAGGCTATTGTACTCCTCCTACTCTGCCAACAACATTAACACTCGCTTGTCCGCCTTTCTTATGAGAGATGCTTTGCTTCTTTCCAAATGATCACTCAAATAATCGTGACAAGCAGAGTCTTGTCCATGGCAAGCAGAAGCTTATCAACTGAGGTAGGCTGTGGACCCAATTAAGCAGTAAATGTAGGTTACACAGTCAGGGTGAAATCTAGAACACCATGTTAAACTCCCATAATCTTTACACAGTGCACGGAATCAGAAAACTACTAAAAAGAGAGCTAACAAAGACAACCAACAGGAAAACACTGAGCAGTGGCATGCCTGAAATTCTCTTTTCTTCCAGAGCTTGGATGTCTAATGTAGGAAGTCACCTGCTGTCTTCTAATCCAAATCCTAGGAGCTCTAATGATAGCTACTTCCTATCACCCTTTCAAAGAAGTAAGCAAGGTGTATACAGGTGCAAGGAGAAAAGAGTACTCCATCATTTTAAAGAAGGCTGGGGGAGAAGGATGAAGAGGAAGCTTTGCCCACCTTTTATACAATAGCCTAATTCACTTACTAGACAGCCTGGGTTCTTACCCAACTAGATGACCTGGGTTCTCTTCTCACCTTGAAGCTGTTCTGATTTGTATCTTTCACTCCTAAGTGCCCTGACAACCACATTACATGCTGGGCAGGGAAGCACTGTCTTATCTTTCCAGGTTCTCAGCAGTGTCTTTGTGCCAAACATCATTCAAGATTCCCTGGACCACGGGGAATGCAAACAGAAGACTCTTTAACTTCACAGTTCAGACACTTGCTTTGAAGTGGAGTGAAGGCACATTCTCAGCTCTACACAATGACCAAAACCTTGCTTTTTAAATCAGTTCCTAATATATTTCTTAAAAAAAAAAAAATGATACTGTTCACTATGCTACCGGTAGCCTGAAAACATCCTACACGAATTAGGAGGAGAGGCATAACTTGCTATGGTGTGGACAGAAAGAGTATGCTGAATTGATCAGAAAAGGGCAACTGTGGCTTCAAGCAGAAACACAACTCCTGGCACCCGAGAACTTCAAAGTGAAAAAGTAAGGCACTGGGAGTTCTGCTGTTTCTAGAGTTGGAGAGCCACTAAGCCATCATTAGACTGGGACTTAACTGACTCACTTTCACCTAAAGTCAGTTTCAAGTACTGAAGTCTTTTAGCAGATCTAGTATGAGTTTGTAGTGGGGTACCACCAAGTATCTTGAGTGTGCCACTGGAATACAGTAAGAAAGAAAAAAGAAAAAACCAAACCCAACACAACCCTTCTCAAAGAAACATGCTGTATCTCCTTACCCGCCAAATCCCTAAACCTCCTCTCAATGATGAGTTCATCCCATTCCCTCTCAAAGTGAAGCTTCTCTAAAGTGACACCTCTCTAAAGACTTACTCATTCTCTGAAGAAGGTCCCACTCTTCTTGCAGAAATGCTCCATAGTGACCTATAATAAAATAGCATATGACAGACTTGTACAGAAGAGTAAGATTCTGAAGTATACAACTTTCATAAATGTTCACATGCAAAGATCGAGACACTCATATGCCTCACTGGCAGAAACAGGATTGCTCTGCCCTGCCCAAGCTGGAAGAGTTGGATCATTCTGTTCCCCATGCCACCCTAGATTTACAGGATAAACAATGAATCCCCACACCCTACTTTCACTGCTACTCCCTAAGGCTGGTGTGTTGACACTGGCAGCTCAAAGTCCAACTTTTAGGGGTTTATACCAGGTGCTTAAAAATTCCCTTCAAGATAAAACCTGATCAGATTGAAAGATCCATTTGCCCTTGTCCTGGTTTCAGCTGGGATAGAGTTAATTGTCTTCCTAGTAGCTGGTACAGTGCTGTGTTTTGAGTTCGGTATGAGAAGAACTTGATAACACACTGATGTTTTCAGTTGTTGCTAAGTAATGTTTAGTCTAAAGTCAAGGATTTTTCAGCTTCTCATGCCCAGCCAGCAAGAAGCCAGCAAGAAGGGGCACAAGAAGCTGTGAGGGGACACAACCAGGGCAGCTGACCCAAACTGGCCAAAGGGGTAGTATTCCAGACCATGTGATGTCATGTTTAGTATATGAACTGGGGGGAACTGCCGCTCAGGGACTAACTGGGCATTGGTCAGCAGGTGGTGAGCAATTGCATTGTGCACCACTTGTATATGCCAATCCTTTTATTATTAGTATTGCCATTTTATTAACGTTATCATTATCATTTTCTTCTTTTCTGTTCTACTAAACTGTTCTTATCTCAACCCACAGGTTTTACTTTTTTTTCCCGATTCTCTCCCCCATCCCACTGGGCAGGGGGGAAGTGAGTGAGCGACTGGCTGCATGGTGCTCAGCTGCTGGCTGGGGTTAAAGCATGACAGCCCTATACACCACTGATATTTCCTATTAGTCTTTGAAAGAGGAATTGGCAGTTACTGAACAAATCTTTCCTCAACATCCTAACTGATCCAAAATTTTCAAATACTGGTTCTGGTTTTCAAACATAACTGTCTTTGCAATATCTTTAAGGGATTCAGCAGGTGTTATCCTCTTATATACTAATGTGAATAAACTCTGCAAGTATCAAGGAAATAGGAGATGCTAAGTGCCTGCATGATATAATTTTAAATGCAGCTTTGCAAAATTAGGCTGTTTGAGCAACTGAAATCAGAAAGAAAATCAAGCTCTTACTAAAAATACTTTTTCTGAAGAATAGTCTAGACACAAGAGCTGTCACTCAAGAGAAGTTGGAATTAATTATTAGTATATCTAATTTTTGCTTTAGGTACTACAAAGCATTACCTGTTAAAGTAGGTGTAACTAAGTCTGACTTCAGCCACCCCCCCCAGCCCAGGCTTAATTTGGTCCTCTTGATGTTTTACTGCCAACATTCACATTTGAAACATGCCATTTCTCTGTTTATCCAGGATTCAGATTTGCACGTACCTCTCTTTGCAATCATTTGGGGGCAACCCAAATTTAGGTCTATGGCATCGCAATAATCCTGAGCTAACAGTGCTGCTTGGACAAACACTTCAGGGTCATTGGCACAGAACTGATAAAGACAAAGAAAAGTGGAATAATCAGGCAATTGCTTTTTCAAGTACTGACAACACATTATGACATAGTCATGAAACAACTACTTGCTACAGAAAACAGGCATAATATGCACAGTTAATAACAGCAAACAACCATTTTGCAAAAAAACCCCAACAAAAACTCTAACACTTACCAGCTAAAGATCCTCAACCTTCAAATAACAAAATGCGAAAGATGAGCATTCAAGAGGCAAAGAAATATTTGTAGAATGTTTTACATGTAGTACCCAAGAATAAGAGGGAACAACTCTTAAAATCCCCTGTAGAACAAACAGCTGTAGCATTTTAATACATAAAGGTGGTGCAGAAGAATTACCTGTGGTGTCTCTGTGTCTTGGGACAATTCAAACTTTGTAGATACCGATAAGCACCACTGCCTCTAAAATTAATTCACATTAATGTGGAGTGTGAAATAGACATATCGGGCTGTTAGTCCAGTGCTCAGACTTAAATATAATTAATATTACATTTAAAGCACAGTGCACAAATCAATTTATTAAGAAAAATTAGGTTAATTTGAAGCTGCTTTGTTGAAGAGGACAGAGCCAGACTATTCTTCTCATTTATGCTTTTAAACAGGTTTTCTAAAAGTCATTATTAACAAAAAACCAATGTCATCACATCTTTAAATAATATGAATTTAAACTCAAACACATGTGAGCAGAAGGTGTTACTTAAACCCTACAGCACTACATAAATTATGCCTGACACCAACTAAAACCAGAAAAGGCATTTGCTTTCTCTGAGATTACTGAACACTGGAAAGCCTCCAACCAAGCCACATCAGTGAGGATTTTTACACAGTAAACAAAGCCCACAGAGCAGGCTGGGCTCAGATGTACCTCTGCCTAATCTGTTTCCAAGAACCTGTGACCAAAAACCAAGCCTGCCCAGAAATACTGCAGAACTCAGTAAGGATTGCTGTACTGGGTCAATCCAAAGATTAATCTAGTTAGTTCTGTGCCTTATGTCCAATCGCGGCCAGTGGGAAGAAGCATAACACAGCAAGCTCACAGTAACCTACACTCTTCAGGTAGGCTTGCCCAGAACACACAGCTTACTGAGCTGAAGATCTGTGTTCAAAAGACTTACAGCTTTCCAAGACTATTTAAATTTCTGCCACCTGTATTTTTCTGTGGCGAAATAAACTACCTCCCACGGAAAAAGGAGAATATACAAAGCTGTACTGAGACAGACCAAAGGTCCACCTCATCCTGCTCTGATTAATGGTCAACAATGATGTCTAGGGAACAGCAGAAGCTGGAAAGCATCTTCAAGGACTTCAGAAGCAGAAGTGGTGTTTCCTGCACCTAATGACCCTCAAAAGGAGTTTTCCTTCATTTGCTTTCTAAACTCATGTAACCTTTCAGCATCCAGTATGTCCCATGGTAATGAATTTTACAGTGTGTAACTATCGCTACCCTTACTTAATACTCGTTTCCCATTTGTCATCTTCAAGCCAGTCATACTTTCACAGCCTTCTCTCCCCTTAGTCAGGGGAGACACTTCTCTTCCAGGGTGAAGAGTCCTCCTCCACTTAACTGCTCCACATGTGGAAATCATGCCATTCCTCTGCTCATGCCGACCGTCTTTCCCTGCATTATTCTCCAGCTCCACAGGCCCCCCTCTCTCTCTCTTTGGGAGAGAAGTACCTGAACCTCACACAGTACTCAAGAAGCAGGAGCAACACAAACTTAAAAGCGTGTCCTATCTTCCTTGCATCCTTCTTCTATAGCTAAGCACTGAGCTCATGGTTTCAGAGAACTACTGAAAAAACTGTGATCCCCCTGAGCGGTATTGCCCCAGATCTGGAGCAACCCTTGACTCTAGAAGACCAGCTGCAGTCTCTCTCTAAAGATGAGGTGCAGAGGATTGGAACCCTGTGAGAAGTCTAACGCTCCAGGCCCCTGTGGTTAAGACACCGAATCCTCTTTGCTAGACAAGGGACGAACAGAAAAACACGCTTATCTTCACGAGCCGAGTACTGCTAGCAGCATTTAGGTGAAGAAAATGAGATTTCTGTCAACCTCTTTAAAATCTGGGTGAGACCGGCTAGCTTGAGGACTCACGCGGATCTGGAGAACGTCTGGATTTGTTAACACGAAGGGGGCGGAGGACGAGGGCGAGGGCGCATCTGGCAGCGCTGACTTGCTTTTGCGGCGCTACCCAGGAGCGCACCGCCAGGTGAACGCCGGGAAGCTCTGCCCGGCAGTGCCCGCCGCCGCGCCCGCTGCTCGGGCTGACCGGGCAGGCGCCGCCGCC